GCCAGGCAGTGCCAAAGGGGGCTCAATACTTGTACATAGTATTAAACACCTATTAAAACAAAGAGAAACACCCCAAAAATCCAACAAAACAACTTTTTTTTTTGATAGAGTGGGACATACCAGGGTAAGATACAGGATATCTTGTAGATACAGAATCATAGAACGGTCAGGGTTGGAAAGGATCTGATGACCATCCAGGTCCGACCCCCTGCTATGGGCAGGGACACCTTACACTAGACCAGGTTGCTCCAAGCCCTGTCCAATCTGGCCTTGAACACTGCTGGGGATGGGGCATTCATAACTAAGAAAATGGGTGTTTTTCCCCCATAGGAACACCCAGAGCATGATGCACACAGCCAAAAATCACCCAGCTGCAGAGACAGGGGGGAATTTCACTCCTCATTCACAAAGTGAACTTTGTGGGGAAGGCGGAGAGTAAATATCAGGATGATGCACAGCTCATGGCCGAACCCTCGTGATAATCTCTCACTGCTGGTGCCTTCCACACCATTTCCCAGCCCCTAAACCTCCCCCTCCCCTTGATTTAGGAATAGGAGCCTCGTAAATCCTTCTGACCCTGATGCTTTATCGGGTGCCCCAGCTCCTCTGTGCAAAACCACGGTGCGGGTGGCAGGGCGAACATCTGCACAGGGGATATCCTCCTGCTCCCTGCTATCGCCATTGCTAAGGCGGTTGTGGTTTTGTAGCTTTTTAGCCCTGAAATAAGGAAGGATGTTCTTCCTTGTGGTTTGCAATTATGGCGTAGGAAGTAACAAACGTGTTTCTGCATCCCAGGCCAGATTCGCTCTCCTGCAGCCGAACGGAGATGAGGGGTGATGCATTGGGAAAGCAAAAGCCTGATGGTGAGTGAGTTATGAAAGTGATTGTAAAAGCTCCCTGGGAGGTTAAACGCAGGTCTGTGCCCATGTGTGGCTCTGGTGGTGTTTGGGAATAGGGTTTAATATCACGCAGCACCTTGCTTGAAAGAAACCCAAGCAAAATAACCCAACCAAACTAACATAAACCAAACCAAAACCCCCAGTCAAAACCCCAGCCTCCCTTTGTGCCTGGGTTGCAGAGGTTGGGAATGCGGTGCCCTAAATCCAGCCTCCACCTTTAACCCCAGAAATTCTTCAGATCTTTGGGAGCAAGTGATGTATTTGTCTCGCACACACACTCATTGCAAGCTGATGTTTGCACCACCAAAGCCTAGAAAAGCTTCAGGATCCGCACCAGAAAAGGGCTGGATAGTGAGGAGCTTGGCTGGTCCATCAGTGAGGATGCTCTGGAAGGGCTGCAGGGAGGGTTTGCTCTAGGACAGAGTGATGCTTGATATCTGGTTCGCCATCACTCCAGAGATGGATCTGGGTCTGGCTTGATGGTGGCTCCTTGGGAGCTGCTACAGGGATGAATGAAGCTGGTGTGTCCTTGCTATGGCAGAGGGTTGGAACTTGATGGCCTTAATGTCCCTTCCAACACAAACCATTCTATGATTCTATGTTTGCTTCAAGTGTTTTGGGATAATAACTTAAGAAACAGTGAATTATTGATTTACAAGCAGCACAAGCAGCTGGCCTGTACCTGGTTATGGGTGCTTCCTCCCTGTGGTGTGCCAACCACAGTGGGTTGGGTGGCCGATGGCTCCTGGGCACATCCATCCACAGCAATGACGTTTCTGGGCACAGGTTTTCTATGGAAGAGCATGGTCCTGCCTGGGGCCAGATGTTTGTGCAGAGGTGCTTCTCTTCAAACCTCCCTTACGTATTCCCATGAGCATGATGATTTTTATATCTGCTCTGATTGAAGGAGTGAGAAAGAGCAGCGATCAGCATCAAAAATCAGTGGGACTCATAGAAATACTTAACACTACAGGATTTATTTTAATGATTTTTCTGATTTTGATGGGCCCTGCACTGCATTGAGAAGGTGGAGGTGAATCCTCCCCACACAGAGAGGTGCAGCCAGGAAGTGCATGATCTTTGCTGATAGCCCTGGCTTGGACATGCCGTCCCCGGTGCCGGGGCCCTTCTGCCTGCATTGTTGGCAGGTTTCAGCATGACTCACAAGAGCCTGGGACAAGGTGGGGTGTTTCCTTCCAGGTCAGGATTTAGGTGGATTGGCAAAGGGCTGTGGGAGTGCTTTTAAGGTGTCTTTTTTGCATGTTGTTGTTGTTTTTTTCTTTCTCCTCACTGCAAGCAGCGTCAGGCTCTGCCTTCACCCAGCAGATAAGTGAGGAAGGGTTTGGGCTGCTGGAGATGCTCATTTAGCAATAGCCTGCATCCCATCCTGTAGCTCTGCTCAGCATCTTCCCTTCTTCCCACCCCCTGAACTTCTCCCCATCTCCAAAGAGGTCAGTTTCTTCACTCTCATTTGGGGCCACCGATGCATCCCCATCCCTTCCCTCCTCATAGGTGTGTTAGTGATGGGAATTTCCTCACACTGACATATGTATTGCCAAACTTGGAATAATAGAAGCAACAGAATGAGAGCAACGAAGCTGCCACATATCGTTGTAACACACATCTAAGCCTTTCAAGACTCAGAGCTCTAAGGCTCATGGAGAGTTAAACAACAAGCAGTAAAGATGCACACTATACAGCTCTGAATTGCAAGAAGTTTTGCAATGGATGAACACGCTCTTGTGCTGGTTGAGGTCCTTGCTGTGGGAGTTTGGGGTATCTGTGAGGATCTACAGCTGAGCAGCCACTTGCATGTGAGAGATGCATTGCATTCATGTTACTATTACTATTTTATGTGCATTAATCACTGCAGCTCCAGCTCTGCCAATGTGGGGCTTATAGCCTGGCTATTGCCCACCCACAGCCAAGCCCGGCTGCACTTCTGGTACCTCATCTGCTGCAGGTTACAGACCCTGTGTGGGCTAAATGCAAGTTTTTATGCCACTGGTTCCCATGGTAATTATGTATCTGCATGGGATAGACCCGAGGGCAAACCGTCCTGGCACTCCATCAGTGCTTTCCTACGTGCGCTTCTGGGAAGCGGAGGGACAGCCACATGCATGACCTGTTCTTCTGGCCTCTCCTCAATCACATTGCAGCCTCAGGTGCATTTTTAGCTCCTCTGAAATGTTTTTGGGGTTGTTTTTCACGTTAGTGCCTCAATCACTGTTATTTTTTCCCCCTCCTTTGACATGTCCGAACCGTTTCATCCCATTCTTGCTATTGACATAAAAATGCAGCTGAGAAAACACTGAAGCTGCTTCACCAACTGCCATGCCAAGAAGTAAAGAAAACCAGAAAGTAGTTCTTGCACTGAGAGGTTCCTCTTTAAATAAGCTTGGAGGGGAGGGGGGAGAAGTGAGAGTACTTGGTAATTAGATTCTCTCTCTCATCCTAATTGCATTACTAATAAATCAGCTCTGAAGATCTGTTTCTTTTTAAGTTTTCTTGAATTTAGCCTTTGTCTAAGAATCTTGGAACAACAGAGCTGGGGTAAATATGATTAACCCATAGTTAATTACCGGGGTATTTCAGCTCTGCCCTGTGGATGCTCATCCTGTGATGGTTAACCACCGGCCTTTCTAAACCAGCCCCTGCCAAACCTGGGGGAGAGGAGCAGTGCTGAGCTGTGGTTACCAATATTGTTTAAGTAAAAGTGCAGGAGAATTTACATTAAGGGATAATTTGGCACATACATGAGCCCAATGGAAAATGAATAACTTTTCCTCAGCATGCCTTTTCATTCTGCCCTTTTACCCCCCTCTCTTTACATGGTCGCTAAAAGGCCAGGGAGTTTTAGTTTAGCAAATACATAAATATCTCCTTCAATTTCAGAGTCCTGGGCCCTGAATCCCTTTAAGCTCAGATTAAAGCATACATATGTTGTATATTTTCTTTCTTAGAAGAAGTGAGGATGTTTAGTTAATATATAATTATGTACGGGATCCATGGGCTGTGGTTGGGTGTGGGGAGGAACCCATGAGCCAAGTGAGGGGAGGACAAAGTAAAGCCCCCCTGAAACAATGTGGGGACATCCTCTTTCCCTTAATTAAAGTCAGGGCAGGTCTCTTGCACTAGGAGGTGACTGATGAGGGCTTTTTGGTGACCTTCCACCGAAATCTCATGCTGTTGAAACCTGGTGGTTGCACAAGAAGGTACCATGCCACGGGACTCCCACACTTTCAGAACAAACCACAGCTGCCAACTCACCTGTGGTTCATGTACTTTGATGCACTGGTTCACGTGCGCCAGGTCACATCTCTGTGACACGTGGTCAGACAATTTATCAGGAAAATCAGTGCTAATGGATTAAGTAAATAAATCCTTGGTGAATATGATGTAAATTCTGGATTGAAGGAGTTTGCCCTCCCTGCTGCTTGACTTGCGTCCATGCTTTGCACAGTTTTATTGATATCACACACAAATTTCTAGTGGGTATAAAGACAAGGGCTGTTGTCTGACAATGTGGTCACCTTCAGTAGGAAAAAGAAAGTTGATGTCCCAAAACTCAACAACCCATGGGTGATTTTAACTGGAAAACTTGGGGCACAGGAGCACGCTATCTCTGTTAGCAGAGAGTCAGTGTGATTGGAGCTGCTCTGCGATGGGGGTCATACCAAGGGTAATATGTGCTCTTCCTGTGACTTCACTTATAGAGCACTGTCCCATGGGGTCTGACCTAGGTGGGCAGAGCCAGCTACAGGTCACAGGCTCCACTGACAGCCCCAGGCATGACCAGGGCCAGGAGCCAGCTAGAGATGGGGAGAGAGATGGATAGGATGGAGAAGACAAGGCTACAGCCTTTAGGATTCACCTAGCCCACTAACCCTCTTATACCTGCTCAGAAAGCATCCAAGGCTGCCTTGCTTGGCCAGGGATGGGAATGGCCTTCACCTGTGACCATCCACTCATCACCCACAGATGGAGCACCCAGACCACTGCATCTCCAGCTGTTCCTGGTTACAGAGGCCTAAAAGGTAGCTGATGGGGTAGCTAATAAAGGCATGGGCTGATAGCAGGCTCAGGAGTAAAAGGCTGGAACTGATTTTGGAAGCAGTAGCACCACGTTGTCCTCCTATGGTGAGAGGCTCCTGTGTTTTGGGTTTTCCTTGATGCTCTCTGGATGTTTTAGTGGGTCCCCTGTGAGTGTGAGGGGTCCTAGTGCCACCCAGCAGCACTGTGATGTTAGTCTTCACCCAGGATCTGCTCTGGCTTTTGCAGCCTTGTGCTTGCACTTCAGCTGCCTTTGTTTCTTTGAACCTGGGAGGCAACGCCTGTGATGTTCAGTTGAGTTTGGCTGGCTCAGAAAGCATCTTTGGACTCAAAATGCCTCTGGGACTGTGCAAGGTCTGTGCTTCTGATCACAGACCAGGTCATCAAGGTAGCAAGTGTACTCTGGATATGGGGGAGCAAAGTTGCATTGCTCTGGGAGAGAAGAGAGGACGTTCTCACCTAGTTTATAGAGGATGGAGACTTCGACAAGGTGCTTCCTGTTGAGCTTCACTTGTGGGCCATGCTGAGCCTTATGTGGCACGGCACCTCACCTCAACCTGCTCATCTACGTGACCACTGTGGGTTCTTCTGAATGAGGGAGACTAGACATTTGCTGGGAGGTGTTCTCCATGGGGCAGGTGAGTGGTACCTATACGTTGTTCTCTGCTGCTGCTCTTTAAATTGTTCCTCTCTTTGAGATTGTAGCTCTTTGCAAGCATGTGTCATCTCCCCATGCCCACAGTGTGGCATCTGCAATATATGTTATATCACACCATCTTTCCCCCATGTTTGCCACGGGGGCAGGAAAGCTTAGCATGGATTATGAATTAGACTTTTGTAAAGCCTCTATAACCTCCTGGCACTGTGGGCTCAGCTTAGCCCTTTGTGCAAGCGAAACACACTGGGTGTTACGAGTGTGCAGGATTGTGTAGTGCTTCTTTGAAGACATATCTCTAGAGCGGGAGGCATGGTCTGTGCTGGCGTGTTCATTGTGAGAAGATGCATTGCTCCGTTATCCTGGCAAACATACATATTTCTTCCCTGTACTTAACAATTCCTCGTTTTGGGAAGGGCTGTATTTTAGTGCTGCAGTGGGCAGAAGAATTCAGATGGCTGGCAGGTTTATCTTAGGTGCCTGAAGCTCGTTGGATGTCCCAAAGCACTGTGAAATTAATGGAAGTAACCAAACTATATCACTTGGGGACATCAGCATCTCTTGTAAGTGCTCAAAGGGAGGGAATAATCAACCTCTCTGATGAGCAGCTTTGTACTCTGACTAGCTTTGCCCTTGCTGGTGAGTCAGGGATGAAACTAAGATGGGTTAATTCCTCTTTACCTTGGGGAAGTAGCAGGGGACCTTGCAGAAGCAAATGTGGTGGCTGGAGAACAGATGATGTCAAACTGCTGGATTTTGCTATTTAAATAACCTCCCTCTGTGGTTTAGTGAGTGGTGGGGTAGGGCTGGAGGGAGGTGGGCAGGATTTGGGGCTGGGGGACCCCACAGCGTGTCCTGCCTGTAACTGGGGTGGATGGAAGAAAGGGCAGCAGATGCTGGTCCTGCATCAAAGCCAGACCAGCTCCTCTGGTTCTAGGTCCTTTTACTCCCTTTCCATCCCCCTGGGCTTGGCTTCATGCAGGAGACCCAGCCCAAGGACACATTTTCTTCCTTTTTCCCCCACTACAGAAGCACTGGAGCAGGCTTACCCAGTCCCAGTGTGTCTGGGGTCTGCATTGTGCTGAGCTCAACCCAAGTCTCTTGGGACACAAGGATCTGTCTCCAAACACCACCACTCTTCATGGTCCATTCCCCTCCCTTGGTGGTGTTCTATCACCTTGTACTTGAAGGCACCGCAGCCCTGGTCTATCCTCCCCACAAGCCACCCTCTTCTCCTCTGAACACCCTAGCAAAGGTCAGCTTTATTCATTTTTTGGCAAACCCTCACTACAACTGGCTGGACTGGTTTAAAAATGCCTGGTGGCAACCTCATGAAAGCTTGTTTGAGGATTGCATCTCCCAGGCAATGAGTCACTGTCCGGGATGGAATGATGTTGCACTGTTAGGTGTTCCGCTATACACACAACCAGTCTAGCCTGGCTTCATCCATCAAGGTCTTCCCATTGCCCAGTGGTAGCCTGAGGTGTGAGCTTGGTGGTGTTATGGTGTTGAAATCGTTTTGGCTGCTCCTTCCTCATCCCTTGTATCCCCATGGGATACCTGGCTTTAGCTTTTGAGTAACTCCAACAGCAAGGATTGCAAGATAAAGACTTATCCATTAAAACATCATCCTTGACTCCTGGGGACCCTGAGCTCCTCTCATCCCTTCTTGTTTGAGCGATTAAGGATTGTGCCATTAGTCTACTCCTTAATGAACATTGAAATGCTGTCTGGAAATGAAAAGGCGTGTGTTTTCTGTGACACAAACAAAACCAGAACTATTTTTCACTGTAGTATGGTCCTCTAAGTGTTGGGTGTCACCTTGCTGGAGCTCTGGCAGTGCCCTCATCTTTGAACTAAACCGAGTAGTGGGAATCTTGTGGCTGGTAATAGCGAGGCCATTATTTTAAGGATACAAATGTTTAATGTACAATAACGAGGCACATAATGAACGTCCAAATGAGTGATGTTTTCTTCAGTTTTACATTCCCAGAGGCGCAGAAAGTATTGGTCACTTTGACACGGAAAGCAGCCAGGCAATTACACTGGCGTGCTCCGAAAAGAGATTTGATTTTATAACTCAAAACTTGAAAAAAGGCCCAGAAACACCCTGAGCTTCCTGGTTGCTGCTTTGAATTCAATTTGCCTCCACTCCAGCTTAAAAAGGGATGTGGGGTTTAGGGCTGTATTTAACTCTTAGCACCTCAGAGCTAGCACTGGGTCTTGGGAAGCGAGGATGTGGAAAGGAGAGCAACAAGGGGTATCTATAAAGGCCCTTTCCTTCCTATGGAAAGGGAAACTAAAATGAATGGTGTCCATTTGCCCTATTTGTGATAGTAGCACCCCAGTGGGGTGATAACCTACCTGGGGTACAGGTGGGGTACCACCAGCCAGGAGCAACGCTGGTTTGCTTGAGATGGAGATACTCGGGTTTGGGTGATGGTCTGATCCTCCCACCTCCATGTTACTGAAACTCCCTGTGGCTTTGGTGTAACAGGGTTTTGGCCAGAAGCTTTCAGTACCTTCTTCCTTTTTTTGCCTTATTCATAAATGAGTTTGTGAGAGAAGTCTTGTGAGACATTTTGAGAGCTGAGGCCTAAGTCTTACTGTTTTCCCCAAAATCTCTGTAAGGGAAGAATTATCCCCGTCATTTTACCTGGGCAGTATCAATTAATTACTTGTCGTGCTGCAGAAGACGACAAATCCTGAGTAATTTCAGCAACACCAGAAAACCAGTCTCACCCATCTGTGCATGGGGAGGTCTCAAATGAAATGTTGCCTTAGAAAGCAAAGTTCTAGTGTAACAACAACAACAAAAAAAACAATTCCAGGTTTTATCTATTTTACCAAAGGCTAAAATGGATTCTTATGTATATTTTATAAGAATATTTGGTTTGTGTTTAGCCCAGCATTAAGGATACTTTTTTTCTTAATAAGCTCATGTCAGAGCTCCCGTAACCGTAGCCTGAAGGATATGTTTTGTGAAAATGAAAAATGAACATATTATTTACCTATCAATACCGTGTAACATTGATCAATGCAAACCAGCAGCGCTCTCCCCCCTCTCCTGCTCCCACCATTCCAGGAGGCGGGTTACCCTGTCTGGGCAGTGCTGGGACTTTATCTGTAATATGGAGCTTTCAACTGCCGGGCGGACAAAATGCCTCTCTGACAGCCAAGCCATTAATTACCATCATCTGAGCCTAATTCATTCATCCCTTTCCCTCTCATGCAGAGGGACAGGGAGGGCTGAGGGCACTTGGGGAAACGTAGGCATGATTCCATATTCGTTATGCGGCGAGCGCTGTCTGCGACTTTGTTGGTTGCAGTGGCTTTAATTGAATTGGCTTGCCAATAAAGCTGTTGTCATTCAGTAAGTGAATTTGTTGTACTACTCGCACCACAGCTGCTGCATACAACCAGGCGTTTCCTGAAGGCAAGCCAACCTTGTGCTACCCTGGCTGGATATTTTTCTTTTTGCCTTCCCCCAAAACTCATCCATAACGTGCTGTGTAATATCCTTTGGGTGCTGTTTTCCACTAGGGAGAAATGGGGGTCACATGCTTGGGCCCCTCTTACAGGGGTACATCACAACCCCAAAAAAGCAGTGGCTGTGGGTGCTGGTTATCCCTCAGGGTATGGGACCGGCTGGTCAGCCCATGTGTTCTTTCAATTAATGGGCTCTGACCTCCGTTACCCTGTGCTGGTCATGATAGAGCATCATTGTTCCTAGCAGTAAAAATAAATACAGAATATGACAGATAATATATTTTGTTAGTCAGGAGCTTAGAGTCCCATTAAGAAGTCTAGCAATATTGATAAAATAAAGCAACATTAGGAGAGGCATTTATTATAGGATATGTAGGCTGTTGGCCCCAAAAAAGACTCCAACTTTCTGCAGTTTATAAAACATTAGGGAAGGAGGGAGGGGGAACTGCTTGATTTATGGTGGCTGTAAACTGATACCGAGATGAAGTAAAATATCCAGAGGTCTGAGAAAGCATTACTTCTTGTGTTTTATTAACGCATGGCATGAGAGTAGATGTATTAGCCCAGAAAGTGGTCCACGAGGCAGCTGAGTGGTGGCTATGGACCAGTGGTCCCCATACAAACACTTTATCCTTCTCATGAAGGGTGCTGAGATGCAAACCTACATCTGAACGCTACCTCTGCCCCCTCTTCTCCCCTAGGTCAAAGAAACCCCCCATATTTTATCACCCCTAAAGAAGGAGGTGAACCGATCTGGACCATTTTCAAGACTTTGTGGCTGAGTCCCAGCTCCAGTTGGGATGAATTACTTTCTCTTGGTGCTATGCTTAGCTGGGGGAATTACCCCAAGAAATAAGTTTTCTTTAGATATTATTTTTTATATAACTTCATAAAACATTGCATTTAAATCTGAGTTCATTCCATGAGATTTATGCTTATTGTAGCTTATTATTAACACATCCAAAATATGGGTAGGTAGGGTGTTTCAAGTGCTCTGCTCAAATTGGATCATGCTCAGCTGGATGCCTAACCGAAACTGCAGAAGCTGAAGTAATATTTTGGGTGTTGATCTCCCTTGAGGTGAATCATAAAGTTGAAGAGATAAGCTGGCAATTAGATGGTCAAACCAGTACATGAAAGCCTGTTTCTAGGCATCCAGTAAAAAAAAAACCTATTTTCACCCCATATAGCCTCATGTTATTTGAGTAGTAACTCGTGAAGAGAAGTGTAAAGTTAGTTCATAATGGCAAAACATTCCTCGACTTCAGTACCAATGGACGTAGACTGTGATGGGGACTTGTTGCCTTCAGCGCTGGAAGCCTGCTTGTACAAATCTGGAAGTGGTTTTGGCAAAGGCTGCAGTGCCTGTTTCCAGAGCAGAAAGTCACTTTTCCTGTTAGTTTGGGATAAAAATGTATTGGGCATATAAAGCTTAAGGGTCTTAAAGCAGCTGGCTTGTCTCATCCTTGTGAGGGATCAACTCTAGGAGTAAAACCATGACGGCAAACGTCCCATTGATGTCCATAAAACCATGTTCTTCCCCCCCTGTTTCTTTGGATGTTTCCTAAAGACCTGTGGGTCTCTTCCTGCAGGGGCGGACACGGATGAATTTGTCCCCTTTCCTGCTGTACCACAAGTCTGGGTGTCCATGGCATGGGACAGCCTGTATGGATGGAACACTTTCTGCTGGAGCTTCAGCTCTGCTGGGGGCAAAGAAGATGGGGAAATCCTAATGGTGAATAACCTGTGGTTTAGGTTACTCTAAGTAGCCCAATTTACCTTGAACACTCCTCTTAGAGCAGTAACGCTCAGTAAGTGGCTGTGTCAGTCAATTATAGACTTATGGTAGCTGACAACGTTTTCTCCTATCATCTCTTCCCACCACTCCCCAAACCCAGAGAGGGCAAGCCCAATGACAGCAAGCACATGTGAACCTCAGTAAGTAGTGGCAAGCAGCCAAGATAAAAGTTCAGGATAACTTCATATTGTCTTTTCCTTACATTATAATAGATGTGGAATGCAATTGCATTACTATTTTCTTTTTTAAAAGACCAAGCTGACAAGGCTTTTGTGTGCCTGTATTCCCCACACCATTAGACATAAATGTTCAGTATGAAGAGCCATGTAGCTCTCAATTAGCAGCTAATAAAGTAGGCTCTTCTTTATTTAGAAGGGTTATACTTTTCTTAATTCTTCTGTTCCCTCCACATTTGTGGCTTAAGAAAACCTTGCAGGCACACTGACCTCCCTTTAGAATGAGATTTCTGTACAGAAAACACAAATAAAGGGTAATTTCTTGGAGGCTGAGATGAATGATTGGGAGAACAATGACTTTGAGAAAGCAGACTTGAGTGGAAGGGAACTGACCACTGAAACCAGACCCTAGAAGTACCATAAATACAGGTCTGCAGCAAGCCAATATTTATTTTCTCTATGGCAGGCATTGCTTTTGCCTTTAAGTGCAGTGGGGTTGGCAAAAGAGAGAAGTTAATCTGGAACCATCTCAGGAAGGGAAGAGGAATGTGGTGAACAAATGGTCACATCACAAAACCTGGTTATAACTGAGTGGCTCTCATTGAAATAACTTTGTGCACCTTCAGCTCATTGACAGCACAAGCTTCATCTCATGTGCCAAGTTTGTGTCAAAGTAACCTATGCACAAACAAAAACAACAGTCTAGGTGTGTGGGAGCTTTGGATTTTGAGGGGGGAATGAAATCCATTCAGGTTTATGAACACCCCACTGGTAAGAATCAACTCATGTCTCTTCCAGCTTGTGATACAAGGCGCTGGTGGGATGTGTGTCCTGGTGCCAGCCGGTCTTCGTGTCTCTGCTAGCCACGGGAGGGCTTGGATCCTCTACACCCAACCCTCCACTGGCTGTTGAAGGTGTAATTAACTGTGTGGGTGGTAAAATAGCCCAGGGCTCCCCGTTTGCATTTTGTGCAACTGGAACGTACACTTCTCGTTCGGGTAACGTGGCAAATAAAACCTGAGCAGGGCAGCGGCGAGTGTTGATGAGGAGTTTTGAAATAGCATGAGAATGGGTTTTATGACAGTATATTGCTTGCTGAGACTGCAGGGCTGGTGCAAATAATCTATTAAGAGAAGGCTTTTGTGAAGCTCTATGGCTTTTTAAAGAGGTTTATGGCTTGGCTAGCAACCGTCTGCTGTGTGAAAGTCTGGAGGTATGAGTCTTCACAGGGCCACATTGGCGTAAGTGCTGCCTTGTGTTGCAATGGGTGCAGAGGTACCTGCAGCTGGAGTTTTGGGGCAGGATCCCAATCCTGCTGGAGGCAAGTGCCTGCCTGGAGGGCACCAGGCTGCTCCAGGGATGTCGCATGGCCCCGCTGTGGGCTTTGCACATGCTGTGTTCCAACACCCAGGCTTGTGCTCTTGCACCAGCAGTGAATTGGATGCTTGCAACTACTGTGTGCTAAGTCAAGCAATTTCTTTGTGTCTAGGATGAGTATTTATAGTCTTTTTTTCTTATTTTAGGGTGCTGCAAGCAAGGTTTGGCACACATTGTTTCATGGTGGGGGTCTTGATTGCTGCAACTCTATTGCGAAAGAGGGCTGATGGGCTCCCTTGCCAAGAGGCCAGGATTAGACCTTCCCTGAGCTCTCCTGCTTGCCTATGTGATCTGAGACATAGCCTGAACTTCAGTGGTCCAAACCTGCTGGCTCTGAAGGGTAAAGCTAAAAGCTAGGTACATGTGGGAGGGGATCAGTTGAATCTAGGGCTCTGCCCTCTGACAGGTTTGTACTCTTTCACAGCGTCTTCATGGGCTTGGTGATTTCAAGCCTTGTTGTGTGCAAAGTTTTAACTGCTTTCTATGGACTGCCTGTGCCCTCGTGTTCTTTTTGGAGGAGAGCTATAAGATAATTCAGGTTTTCTTTTTTTTTTCTTTTTTTTTTTTTTCCCTCCAAAAGCACTTAGCAGGGAAAAGAGCAGTGGGGCTGCTTTCTGCAGCCTTCCAGGCTTTTAAGTTTTCAGCAGCGAAATGAAAACCTTCTCAAGGCTTCCTATGGGCATCCCCCCTTCCTCGTGGACAAGCAAGTGCAGTGCAAGGAGGACCATCTCCCCATAGCCCAGCAGCAGGTAGAAATTGTCTTTCTCTTTGTGCATGGCAGAAGACCTTGCCTGAGGTCTCCTATGGCCTTAGAGGCACTGGTTGGACCTTGTACATACATCCTGGTGCACAAGGATGCTTCTGCCTGTTTAAATGATGTGTCAAGTGGTCAGTCCTGATTTCAGCTGCAGCTTTCATAGACTGGGGAGTGTAGTAGTGTCTCTTTAACAGGGTGATTTGATGTCAATATTTAGGGATGTGCTTGGTTTGAGTCTGTAGTGGACTATATGCTACCTCTCACTTTTGCAATGCATATTTCAACTCTGCTCTGTACAAAGCCCTTGCACATTAAACGTCTCTCAGATGTACAGAACAACCTGGTTGTCTTTCAGTCCCATGTCCAGTGGACCTATTGATTAGGAGATACCGCTGTTGCTGCTAACAGTTAACTGAGTTGAGAGCTGAGACCTGGGTTTTGCTAGGAGAAGGACATCTTGTGCTTACCCCAGTGCTAATCTGAGCTTGATGTTTCTATGTGGGACAACCCCATTCAGAGCTGATGTTTGCCTTCCTCCAAGAGGTCTATTTTGGGTGGACTCAGTAGCTCTCCATTTGTATTTGTTTAAAGATTATGCACTGAGGTGGAGATCTAAAGCCTCTTGAAGTGGATGAAAATCTTTCTGCTGGCTTTAATGGGCTTTGCTCCAACTCTGCAAGTGCAGAGAATTCAACGAAATTAGAAACCAGGACTTACAAAAACATGCAGGTGAGATGCAGAGAGGCTGAAATAAGACAAAAGAAGGTGAGAAGAAGAAAAAGGAAAACAATCCTGGTATGTGACAGAGGTCCTTTTCTGAAGCTTTTCTTTCTGTTTCTTTCAAACTACTGTAAAAATGGGTTTCAGTGTTACAGGGCTTTTTGTGGAGACAACATTTCTCTGAACAATGAATTTCCAGGTGATCCATTTCAATTTGCTTGTGGTCACCAGGAAGGGAGGATATTCAGTTTAAAGCAGCTGGCCTGCGTGGAATTCACAGTGATGAGAAGTCTTCTGGAGCTGGGAGTATGACCACGTAGCACGCTCCATTGCAAACCTTTGCATGAGCTGGATGTTGCCTTTCCTAGTCCAGATCCTCCCTGCAGCTGGAATTACTACTATACAGTTACTTGGACAGGGCTAGATAAGTGTGCGATCGAAGGATGGGCGTTAGCAGCTATTTTATTGACGCTTAAAGATGCTTTATATTTACTGTGAAATGACCGAACTATTAATCCTTAGACCTGGGAATACCCTGCAAAATACAGAAAGCATTATTAAGGTCAGGTTGCTTTGGAAAACACCATGGCACGAGAGGGGAAGGATGCGAACTGCTCTAAGGTCCTCATGTCTGAGCATCCCAAATCTGATTTAGCTCCGTGCATCCTTGCCCAACTCCCTCCCATCACTGCCAGGCTGAACAAGTGTGGACAAACCCTGCCTACACCTGCTGCCAAGCTTCTCCAGCTCTCTTTACCAGTCTGCCCAAGTGCTCAGGCGATAAGATTTGTCCTGCCCTGTTTTTGCAAAGGGATTTGGTGATTGCAAAACATGTCACATTATTGACTGGAAGTTGTTACCATCTGGTGGCTGTTTAGATGGTCTGGTACTAATGAGTAGGTAATCTCAATCGAGTTTCTAAGGGACAGCTGTCCTCTCTCGCTTTCTTCCTCACGATCATACACATCATCATTGTACCGGACACTAATTGGTGCTCTTATTTGCAAAGATGAGTTACGAACGGTCATGGAAGCGCTTTCCACAAGGAATGGGTTGTGTGTGGATAGGAAGAAACCTGCCTTTCCAGCAGCTGCATTGTGCTTTATGTGCTGAAAGGATTTCAGGTTTCTAGCAATGTTATACAAGCCTTAAACACTCTCTAAAGAAGGAATCAAAGGATATGAGCTATTGTAGATGAAGTAAGGCGGATGAAAACACAGTGCTATCCCCTTGGCTTATTTCCTACCCCTCCCACAATAGGTGCCTGCTCCAAAGTGTCTTGTAAATTTATGCCCAGAAAATGC